GTGGGGGGGGGTTGTTACATCAATTTATTTCGAACACGAGACATTTTTTTTGCACTATAGTATATTTATTTCAAACAACAATATCCCAATCACTTCAAATACATACATGAAGGAATGAATATACACAATACTTTTTTTTTACTTTTCACACAAATTCTTTGCTTCGTAATATGAAACGTATATTGCATTGAACCATAGTCAAATTTCGAATAACTTTTTGTGGGGTTCAGCCAAATTATTTACTTTTCTTATAATTAATCCCCCATCCAACCAAAACATGCAACTAACCCTAATTGTAAGGGTCCCTTGCACATTTAGTACCACATATCGGCACGACTAGTCCTTTTATCATCAACAGTCATTTCAAAATCACGTTTAAAGAATAAAAAAGCCATCAATGGAAATCACAAGTCAATTCTTCAAATTAAACATTAATTGCTCCTAATTAACCATCAATTGCCATTAGAGTGGCCAAAAATCAGTGATATAATCCCAAAACCTATAAGCCCCATTAATAAGCTTATTAAGGGAGCTTACACTTTTTGGGGGTTTTGGGGGGTCAATTGCCCCCCACCCTCCTCTCTTTAAAACCGTTTTCCCCCCTTTTCAAGGTAAGGTGGGGTTGGAGGGGGAAGCACTTTTTTCTATAGTTGTTGGAAATGCCTGTGATTCCAAATCGTTTCAGGAATCGGAATCGCGTGTATCAGAAGTTTCCTAATCTTGGAATCATTGTCCGTACGATTCGGAATTACGAATCCTGATTCGCACTATATCTTAATTGTGTTCCAATGAAATAGGAATCATGTTTCCTATTTGTAAGAATCGATGTCCCTTCCTGATGGAATCGAATTTCATACTATATGGCTTGACCCCACATGGCCCAGTGGATTTTGGAATCGCGATCCGATGAGATTGGAATTGTGATTCCTAAGAATATAGAATCGTGATTCCTAAAATTTTAGAATCGTTGTCCCCATCAGCTTGGAATCAAGATTCTCACCATTCAGGAATCGAGATTCTCTCCATACTGAAATTGCATACCAATCCCCTTCGGTATATGAGCGAAGTATTCAGAAAGTATTTAAATTTTATCATTATTACAAGATTGAATTTGGTTTGTATATATTTAGTCCAATTATCAATGTCAACATTTATGATATCTTTGTCAACAATCCCATACAATGGACTCAATCAACCAACAATACAATCCTTCGCCTAAAAGGCCTGGAGCTGGCCTACAACATACAACTAGTGAGAGCAAAGGTGAGCTCCCTCTATCTCCTTTCCTTGAATTATAAAATAAGTAGATGACATAGAAATTCTTCTTTGTTAAATGTAGTTTTGACTTTTGAAAATTGAGTTCTTCAGATATTTAATGATTGATTTAACTTAAAAATTTGGAATCAACGTTTTGCACAAGTAGAATCGCATTGTTGTGTAGCTAAGAATCACAATGTCTGCGATATAGAATCTTGATTCCAAATAACATGGATTCGCAATTCCTAAAAATTTGGAATCAACGTTTCACACAAGCAGAATCGCATCGTTTTGTAGCTAAGAATCACAAAGTTTGTGATATGAATCTTGATTCTAGGCTTCCAGGAACCGAGATTCACAAAGTAAATTGAATCATGTTTCGAGAAACTTGGAAACGTGATTCCTTTCTTTCAGAATCGAGTTTCGTCTTGGGAAACGCAGGATTGAGATTCCAAAACGGAATCGTTACCCCAGTGGGCGATTCGGGTAACTATACTTTTGTCGACTTGGCCAAGGGCCTTTCTCCACCCTTGGCCAAGTTGTTCCAAGGCACTGCCTAGGCAACGCCTTGGACGCCCATGTAGACATTTTGGCTAGCGGTCAGGCGCCCGAATTTTTGAACATTGGCTACCAAAAATACAAATTGCCATTTCATTCAAAAACTAAATTGATCGCTAAAGGGTACCTAAACCAAATTAAAAAAGCCAAGTCAAACCACATACCCAATAAACTTTCTACATCTTATCATTAAATTCACAAAAAAACGGCATTCAAAAAATTGGTGAATTGATTCGGACCACCCGATTTGTGGCTCGGAATTGGAGGAAACCAGTCGAAGACCGCAACCAAGAAACTAGCCCTTTTTATCTATAAGTAATTAGGGGCCATATTTATGTAAAAAACTAAAAAATGACCCTTCAATCGAACGTTTCTCATTTCTCTCCCATTTATCAATGATTTCTTGTGAAAATTGAAGGGTTCTCTTCGTTGTCTAATCCTTTATAAGATATTTATAGAAGACTTGTGGGAAACAAATTCCAAATTGACAAAATCAGAGGTAAAAATTACAACTTTTTTTTTTTTTTCCAATTTTCCATGCTTGATCTGCCATTTTTCTAATTTCTCTGTTGTCTTTCAATAAGTTTTTATGATATTAGATCCCTTTTGTTCCATTGTTCAATCCTGTGTCATATCCATATGAAAGATTTTTCGATCTAGAGTCCGAATAGAAGAAATCTACGCTATGAATTTTGGCGGTTTTTTCCCTTTTGACCTTATTTTTTCAGTCAAACCTATGCTTGTTTGATTTAAAATGACTTAAATCTGTGTATGTAAATTGTTTGAAGATCTAAATCAACAATTTTAAATCAAAATATGCAATATTTTTTAAATAATTTCAACAGTTTGTCGAGTCTGCCGATCCCACTTGGAACCTGTAGGTGACTGGTTGGACCTAATGGTCCAATTTTTTTGAACACAAAAAAATAAAAATAAAAGTATAAGATGAACATATAGCTTGCACGATCACCAACAAATCAAACTAACGATCTTATTCAAGATTGCAACACATAGTACCAATCATGCAGGTGTGGATCTGAAAACAAAGAGAAAAAAGAGAACCAATTGGAATTGAAGAAGGCTTCAAAATCATGTTAGAACATTGGGCAAGCATGACACTTCTCCTTTAGGGGAGTTGATCTCAAAATTTGATGATAGTTTTAGTGATACCATTGGGCCTATGTTTGACGGGTGTTCAAGAGCAAGGCCAAAGTTGTCTTATTGTGCACCTCCCATTGCTAGGGCGCCCAATATCCTTATGGCATGATGTACACCTCCTATTGCTAGTTGCCCAATATCCCAATGGAATGACCCCATTAAAACAACTTTTCCCTCTAAAGCAACTATTCAAAATGGAGCTTGACATGGAAGGGGGGGATGATAACAAAAGGGAGTTGGTGCGGCATTTGAAGTAGGTGTGGGTGAGGCATTCGAGTTTAAGTGGCTTTGGTGTTGGACAAAGGAAAGAGTATTGACAAAATTTTGCTTAGACAAGATATGCCTTATTTGCAAGATGGAATACCAATTCATATGGTCTTTAACCCATCACGTGCTCGTGCTGCCCTGTACAAGAATGTAATACGAAATGCCATTATTTCATGTGATGATCAGGAGATCACGAGTTCAAACCTGATCGGGGCCCGTTTGTACTTCATATGTCCAACTCGCCGAGTCTCAATATACCCGGCAGGTTTGTCCAATTTCAAAAACTCGTAAATCATCAGAATCTTACCAGGTGAGGGACCCTGCTATGTTATTTTCTTAGAGAACTATCCGAGTCATAGTGAGACTCGACTGAGTTGGACAAGTACCTTGGGCTAGGACCCTTGCAAGTTCTGACCCCCGTCTGAGTTTTAAATCACTACGTTGTATTATCTCATTGCTCTATGAAAAGAACAACTCATTGCATTTAATCTTACTCTTAATTAAAATGGGTAGGGGAACTCAGTTCTGCAGACTAAAATAAATAAATAAATAAATAATATCATCAGTGAGACAACTTGATACTGCTGGATAATTTCTGGGGGACGTTCAAAAGTGGTGACTGGATGAGCTGTCTCTGGAGCTATTCAGGTTGTTTCATCAATGCAACTAGTTGTTTGTGTCTATATGGAGGCTCATAAATATTTGCTGGGATAAGGCTCTGATGATTATGATGATGATGGAGGCTCATAAATATTTGCCAAGTTGCATTTGCCAAGCTGTGAATCCCCAAGAATACAATTGGAGTCTAAGATAACTAGTATCACATATAAAGAACCACTTTTTTGTGCTTCATGATCAATTTGGAGAAACTTATTGCAGGAAACAAGAAAACCTTAGGTAACAGCTCCATCCCCAATACATAGGAAGTTTTTATAGAGATTTTTTGAAGACCCAAATGCAGTCTTGAAGAGATGATAAATCCTTCAGTAATATGAAAGAAGAGCTTCTAATATTTAACCAAAGATCCAATTTTGAAGAACACTCCAATTAATTCGCTTAGGAGTAGCCTGCTTGACAAATGTTTTGCACAATGTGTTTACGAGTTACCATTGATATTCCTTCTAGATACACAAAATTGCCAACCACCTCAACCAAGTAATGAAGGGCCTCCCGTGTGATATTTCCTTTTATAAGTCAGAAATTTACCCAAGCCCACACTTTTATCTCCAAATACTGAATGGTTCCCCTCTTTTAAAACTGACCATAAGAACCTCGGAATTCATAATAAATACATTTGCTTTATTGCACTTTCTGCAAGATCAAGGAACTATCAAGAAAACTTGCAGTGCCTGATACCCAATAATAGTGCATATCCTTTAGTTCCTGCAATTTTTCCTCAAAAAGAAACTTTAGATCTATGTCCTATACTCCTATCATCCAGTACACTAGATACCAATAGGCATTATCAAGCATCTCAAACAGCTGCCTAGAAACAATTACAAACATATACTTATCATAGTTAGGTGGATAAACAGGAGATATCAGAAGGAGAGAAACTAGATCAGACTAGTCCCACGACTAGACAGGAAAGAGAAACTTTGACTAACCCAAAAAGTTACCATGCATGCACTCCCATGAACATATGTCTAGTTTTAGACAGAATAGAAATTCAATTAAAAGGAACAGAAAAAAAAAATCACTCCAGAAAATAATCTGAGTCCTAAAATAGAAACAACAGTTCAAGGTCTATGGAACACCACCTCTTTCCACAAAAAGGGCAACAGACCATCTCTCTCCACATATGTGAGGGCATGCAATTGTGATTGCCATTTTGGTAACCCACCAAGAAACAAAGTAAAAAGTAAGAAACAACAAAATATTGGGTGCCAATGGTAAAAAACAATGGCATTTCTCAGCACAAGATTTGATTAAAACCATATCACTAGAAACAATTAGTACGGTAAGTTCAGGATGGTTATCATGGAAATGACAGTCCTCTGTCATCAATAATTCATGACAAACCATGCTTAACTAGCAATATGGATCACATCAAAGAGCCAATAGTACAATATACTAGAGCTTCCAGCTAATAAATGATCAATATTTAACTACGAACCTGCAATTATCTAGAAATCACATGTGATTCCCAGAGAAATCCACAAACCATTTCCAAAAGCATGCAAGCTCACTAGCGTAGTCAGTAAAATAAGAAGTAGATCATCGTTTACCTTCCTGATCATACCCATGCATCATGACAATGTAGTAGGGTTCATGCAAAAGGCAATAAACAATTGAGAAGGCCTACTTCCACATACATGCGTTCCCATCACGGAATTATATCACCAACTACGAATTCAACAAGTCCTGTTCAACAATCTCAATGAAATCCCTTCAAATATAACTGATTGGTTGATATTAGAAATCAGAATTCATTCCCTACTAAGTCCTCAATAATACTCCAGTGATATTTTTATATTCCTATGAGGGATGTAAAGAAATATTAACATAGGAGAACCATATGAAATGATCCCCATAACTACTCATCCAATATGATTGTAACAAGGGTTTGTCTTGCAAAGTGTAACCTCTTCATCAGAAATTGATCACATTGCTCCCCTAAAATGTTTAGGTTCATAACATTTTAAAAGAACAGATGCTTTGGAATGCGCACACAGAATGTATCCATAACAAAATCAATGAAAACATAGAAAGAAGGCACCAAACCCTAATAGAGAAACTAAAAATGGTAAGAACATCATCAAAGGCACACCATTGCTCCATTAAAACCCGAAAGAGATCAAAATCTGAGATGCACTTCAATCCAACTAGATAAAAATGCCCACAAAATTAACCTAATCCGATAACAACCCTAATCAGAACAACAATTCCATTGAACAAAAACAGAATTGAAATTGGGAATTCAGAGTAACATACCACTATCACCGATCAACAAAAGCTTTATGAGATAATCATAATCAGCCCTAGCCCTAGCAGGTGCGGCGGCCATGGCAAAAATCCCTCCAAATGTGAACCTGTAAAATGATGAACAGTGAAAAAACAGACTCGGGAGGGAGAGAAAATGTCTTTTGAAAAGATAAACAAAGCTTGCAGGAGAGAGAGAAAACAAAGTACAAAGGAATGGTTAAAATACGAGGAAAATAGATCTCAATAATGGGAGAGAACTCTGAAAAGATTAGGGCAACACAAGGCAGGATCTCTGTGAAACCTTCGAATCTATTAATCACCTGAGAGACTCTGCCCTGCGTTCTAGAGAGAGAAAGAGAGAGGAGAGAGAGAGAGATGGCAGCAAAGTTGGGTCGTTGAATATATAAGGAGGGGAAAAATGAAATGTAGAGAGAGAAAGAACAATGCTACGAAGAACAACCCCAACTCGGCAGAGAGAGAATCGACTCGTCTAACGGTTAGAGGGAGATATTCAAATTGTTCAATAAAAAAAAAATAAAGATCGATAAAGGGTATAGTCATCTTAAAAATTACAAAAAATTGCAATTTGTGTTGGAAGACCTTCTAATTGATTATTTTGGTCTTGGCTATTAGGGTTACGAAAAAAAGTTATGATTTTAAATCCTAAAAATTATATATTGTAAAAGATTATTAGACCATCTATTTCTCCTTCAGTATTTACGGTAAATACTAATCCACAAGATCTGTATTATATTGTAAGACTCAAATTTTATAGTCAATATTGAAAATTGATTTTAGAAAGATTTCTAATGTCTAAAATACTCTCCCATTATTCAAAATGACGTTTTATTTTATTTTCATGAAACGTAGCTTATAAAAACTGCATGCCAAAGAAGAGGCAGTCAAACTAGGTAAAGAATGAGCCGACGCCGTAGAGAGAGAACTACCTTAAAAAAACTCGGTAGAGAGAAACTCCCAAAAAAACTCGGCAGATAGATATAAACTCGGTAGAGAGAGAAACTCCGAAAAAACTCGGAGCGGAGAGAGAAACTTGTCCAGAAGAAAGCGTGGGCGGCGGACACGCGGCTTTGTTGCCACGTCAGTTCCCTGATTGTTTGAAGCATGAGAATTGGTTAAATTTGCTCCATTCAAATGGACGTATCAGGGACATAATCATCCAACCAATTCAACAAGTGATCATCGTCCATTCAATCCATCTTCTTACTGATTTTAAAATTTCAACGTATGTGATTGCTCAGAAGTCTCGGTGATTTGAAGATCAAATAAATGAAAGAAAGCAAAGTAAGTAGTTTGAAATGGGGTTGAAGTTTATATAAGGCTTAGGCTTTTATGGAAAACAAAAAAGCCTCAACTCAAATCTTTGTTTGGAAAGTACTTTCGGAAGGAGAAATCTCCGTCATCGATCTCAATCAATGTCCAACAGCGATGATAAAATTTTAATTTCAAAAAATGATACAGATCTTACGGATCTATAAACACATAATTTAGGGGGGTGAATAGACAATCTAGATAATTTGTTGTAATATACACAATTTTCAGAGTTTAAAATCTTATTGTTTATTTTCATAACTACTATGTTCAAGCCGAGATGATCGATGTAAAAGTTTTCTAATATTTGAATTGTAATTTTTGATGAATAGTAAAAATGAGGCTTTATTTATTTTAATAAAGCCTCAACCTTATCAAACTATTTTCCTTGAAATGGGCGTCTTGAAAAGAGACGAGAATGTAGAGGAAATCACGGGAGGGGCATGTGTTGAGCGTGAGTATACTACTCACTGCACCACATGCATGCATCTGCACCAAAACAATAACGACCTAACTTTGATCATATACCAAAAAGATATTATGCTTTCATGGGAGTATACTCTCCATTTCTTTTGTCGAGTGAAACCCAATATAATATTAATTTAAGAAATCATATTTTAGTATGGCAACGATGAAAAAATGGGTAGGGGCATATCTTCCCCACTAAATTACCCACAAAAAAACAGAAAAAAAAAAAAACATAAACCCCCATCTCTAAAAATTTAATTCCAAATAACCCCCGGTTATATGAATATCCGATGGACCTAAGTTAATAAAAAAAAGGCATCCAACCCCTTCTTTACCTTTTTTTTTTTATTGTTTAAATTATAAAATTTATGTTTTTTTTTTCTATCGTTTGTTCTTCACCCATGGACCTTTTCCTCCCTCTCTCTCTAGCCACATTCACTTAATATTTCTCTCTCTCTCTCATCTTGTGAACCTTGCAAATAAGTTAAACTATGCCTCACAAAACTCGATTTTTACGGTGAGGTTATTAAAAAAAGAAAGAAAGAAATTCTGTAATTTGGATAATGAAAAAAGTGAGAAGGAGACTTAAATATCATTTTTTATTTACCATGAGGTTATATGGGCTTTTTTTGAAACCAGAGGGTTATTTAGGATAATAATTTTGGAGAGGGAGTATATGTTAATTTCCCTATTATAACCCATGGACTAATATCAATAAAATAACAAAAAATTCCTAATCACACAATCTATGGACTTAAATAAATAATATCTCGAGATAGAATAGAGGCTGTCCAATTTCTAGAGGATTAATTCTAAGTTTTGAAAACTATAAATTCAATTAATTTTTTTGAAAATAACCATCTAATTCTTATGTTGAGCCAAAATTTAGATTCAATAAAATTTACCCAAGCGGGTTTCTAACCATGGTGTAGATGTACATTGTGCTTATACAAAAGCAGTGTTTGGAGTAGAGATGTGGGTTTTAACTTAGGAAATCGGATGATCCGGATCTGGTATAGGCTGGACCATCCCAGATCTTTGCTACAGTAATAGTCCCATTCACCTTTTAATTTTTCCATCCTGCGCGATTTTTCTTCTAGAGTATTTGTTATGCGTGTCGTGTGCAACTACCATGTTAACTCGTTTTTTGGAAGCAGGTTGTGCATGTTGCTGAGAGGTTGGCGAATCCAATTCTCTCGACTTCATATGTCGCTATTACATCTTTTTTTTTAAAAAAAAAAAAAAACATATGTTGTTTTATTTAATTTCATAACATTGAAATTTATAAAGGGTTTTATTTTTGTTTTTAATCATATGGTATGGAAGTGTTTTCTGATAATTTTTAGTCATATTTATTATAACATTATAATTAATAAAGTCAAATCTTGTATTTTATTTATTGATTTATTTGTATTATAAATTATGTAATATATTATTTTTTCTTATAGTTGTAAATAAGTTTTTTTTAAAAAAAAATTTATATGATATTACAAGACATTTTAGATTTGTTCTTATTTGTATACTAAAATAACTATAAAATATAAACCAACAATCTTATTTTCACTATATAATATTATAGTTTTTTAAGATGTAATAATTTTAGATGAGTAAAACGAATTAATAAATGTTTGATACTTTCATGTGATACTAATATAACTTTATATGGGAAATTCTTATTTTTATAATTATAATATGGAAGTGTTTGCTAATATTTTTAAATGATTTTGATTCAAAATTGTAATAATATATTATAATTAATAATTATACAAATATCTAGACAATAAAACAGCATCTCAGTATTTACTTATTTTTACAAAGTAATGAAAGTATACAATACACCACTCCTAATTTCTTATAGAAACTAAAAAAACACTATTTTTAGAGATTTATAGTGATTTTTTAAAAAAAATATTTGAGACAAAAATTGTTGATTCAGCCGATTGTCCGGTCCAATCCATCGATACGACACGGGTATAGGTGTGACAGATTCGAGTCACCGGTCCATTTTTTTAAACCTTGTGCAAAAGCATAATATATGCGCTCAACTCTCAAAAGTGTTAAGAGTGAGAAATAGCTAGAAAGGGATTGAGAGGTTGAATAGATTAAATCTGCAGACCTACTCATATGTTGAAATTTCTTTAGGGACTACTTCTCATCATATTTAGAAACTCCAAAGATTGTCAACCCTTTCATTTGTTGAAATTTCTTTAGGGACTACTTCTCATCATATTTAGAAACTCAAAAGATTGTCAACCTTAGAAATTGGCCATAATTTTCAAAAATTTCAGCCTAGACAGCAAGTGCAACATTATATTTCATAAAAGCACATGTATTATATGCTCAAATATGAGCAAAATGGGCCCACCTAAGAAAACCCGGAGCAAGTCGATGCAGGAAAGTAAGTATAGAACTCCCAAAAGAGAATGTTACTCTTCAACTTGATAACAAAGTAGAAGTTGTGTATACAGGAAGAGACACCTTCCAACGAACCTGACTTCTTCAATGTTGGGATGTGATTTCAAAATCACTTCCACACGGCATTCCATCTTTTTATAAGGACTAATTTTGTCGCACAAGGCTTTTTATGGTGGGTGCAACTCGCGTACAGATGCATCCATAACGGTAGAGGTAAGGTGCACCTTCAAATTTTATCATCGTATATAATTTTGATGTAAAATGTTTTTAGAATTATCTTAAAATCTATTTTATATTTAATTATAAAATTTTAAAGATGGTTAAAATCAATTAGATCTGTAAACATATGAAAATCTTGAAAATGGACGGTGTAGATAATATGTTGTAAAATGCACTATTTCTGAGATTTAAAATCTTTTTATTTTTCATGGTCATACATCTCAAGATGATCAATCAAAGGCTTTTTCAACATTAAAACTACCTTTTCCGATGGATTTTTGAAGTACATCCGTAGTTCTACATTATAAGGTTGCATCCTTATATAAACTTTTTCTTTTTATGGAAGCTTATAAAAGGTATTTTTGGACAGAGAAAATATAAGAAAAAATGTAGAGAAGTTTGTTTGCACAAACACCATCATTGTGGCTTCATATTGGGCCAGTTTTTTTACTGACATTTCTTCGTGGCGACAATAATGAAGATGAAGATGAAGATGGAAGTCGATTGATGGTAGTATTGTGATAGACAATATCTATTTGAACTTTTTTTGTCATTGTATGAGGTAATCATTATAAAACCCGAAACTTGTAGATCTCATCTATTAATAATGAATGTATTTGCCTATTCCTTGTGGAAGTCACCCATTTTGAGGGAACCACGTAA